CAGAAGCGGTGTCTGGGCCTCCTCCGTCCAGGATAAGGGTCCAGCCGGCACCCACCCCATCCTGCACAACCACAGCCCGGGTCTCCTCTTGTCCCCAAACCCCGGGGAGAGGACGCCCTCGGGTCTGAGGCCGCTGGGAGGCCCCCACAGGCAGGCCAGTGAGGGGCCGGGGGTGAGTGTGTCTCCAGCATCTTGGGGATCCCAGGAACATCTGATGGACAAGCGACACCCACCCTCCCGCACTGCTGTTCCGGAAGCTCCCTCATTGCCACCCAGTCACCCCAACCCAGGAAAGGGGCTCTGCGGCCAAGCCCATCCCACCTGTGCCGAGACCCCCGCCTGCCTCGCCCCGCACCTGGCTGCCCGGTGGCCCAGGTGGGTGACCCACGCCCACCTGTGTGCCCCCCACAGCAGCTGTCGCCCAGGGCCCCCAGCTCACAAGGACACCCCCCCCCCGCCTTTGCCTGGGTGACCTGGGACTTCCAGGGTGGGTACAGGTGGGAGGCTTGCCCCCGGGGTTGGTCAGGACCTTGAGGATGGGCGATGGGGGGTTGGGGGGCAGCCTGAGGCAAGGCCCAGAGCCCAGAGGGAGGACAAGACCCCGGACAGGTGTCTTCACCTGAGATGCTCTCGCTGCCCTTCCCCTGGGGGATGGGGTGCAGAGTGGGTGCCGGGAGGTCAGACACTGGCCAGGGAGAAGGGAAGGACAGGGCGGGCTGGGAGGAGTTCTGGGGACAGAGGACCTGCTAGGTCACCCCCAGCCCCTACCCAAGGACCCTCTGGGCCCACTTCCCCCGTTAGGCCCGTTAACTAAGGGGGGGACAGACTGTGCCCGGCTGCAGCCTGTGCTGCCCCCTGGTGGTGCTGGGAGGAGGCTGGGCCCACTGGCCAGAGCCTGGTGGCCTGGGAGAAGGTGGCACGAGGCCCGGATCCATGTGCCACCCGCCTCAGCCGCAGACACTCGTAGGGGGGCCCCGGCCTGGCTTCCCTGGGAGGAGGCTGGGACGGGGTGGAGACGCGAGGGCTGGGGCAGGAGCTGCAGGCAGGGCCTCAGCCACTCTGAGTGGAGGCCACGGTGGCCCAGGCAGGGGAGGGCTCGGTGCAGATGGCTCCTGAGCAGCGTCCCCCTTCCTGGCTGTGCGGCCGCGCCCACCCTGTGCCCACCCTGCACTGCGCCCTTGGGTGGTCCTGACCGGCAGGTCCTGTTCAGGAGCTCACACTCAATGTGGCTTGTGCCCATTTGTCCCGAGTGTCCTGCCTCTTCTCAGACGTGTTGTTTCTCCCCTTTATCCCACGTGTAGCTTGACCTCAACCCCAGGGCACAAAGAGGCCAGGGCCGGGCTCACCGGGTGCGGAACGAGGGGTGCCAGGACCCGGGTCAGAGCCCCACCCGACGC